TTGTACGCAGTTGTTTATATCATGGATCTTCGTTCAAGGTTCAAGCCACCTCTGCCTCATCATACTTTCGGAAATTATTACAGGGCTGCCATGGCAACTCCAACTCTGCCAATAAGTGAGAAGCCTCATGGATCGGTGAGACAGGTTATAGAGGAAATTGAGAAGATTGACAGTAATTATATGAGGAAATTCCAAGAGGGGTGTCAACAACATCTGGATTTCATGAAGAAAAGAACGGAGAAGGCTGCAAAAGGAGAGCTGGTCACATTGACTTTTTCTAGTGTATGCAAGTTTCCTGTGTACGATGCAGATTTTGGTTGGGGAAGGCCTACATGGGTAAGCATGACTGCTATGCGTATCAGTAATCAAATAGTCTTCATGGACACCAGAAATGGAGATGGAATTGAGTCTTATTTCAGCTTCAAAGAGGAAGACATGGCCAAGTTCGAACATAACAAAGAGTTCACGGCGTTGCTTAGCTCCCCAATTGGTAATGTCAAGGAAAATCCACTTGCACGTCTTTAAATTGAATGAGAGTTGGCATCATCATGTGTTTGCTGAATGAGAGTTTCCATTTGATGTAGTAGATTTAGTTTACAAATATAATCTCCGTATCAAAGTGAAGTTAATAGTGAAAAAATATATTAAGAGGGAAGAGAGTTCACCATTATTAAAAGTGAAGTTAACTGTCCACCACGAAGCAATAAAATGGCAATGAGCAAGCAATAAAATGGCAATAGAATGACAATAAAATGGAAATAAACAAGCAATAAATAAAAAAACAAATTTGAATTTCAAAGCCCCAAATAAGTTCCACTTCTCAGACAACTTAAGAAGACTATCGCACGCTACTAAGCACAAGCCAACTGCAAGCAATGACTTCACCTACAAGAAAATATTTTTTGTTGAAGAATATAACCATAAGTTTTTTAGATTTGTTATAAAGTAGGTGCAATGCTGGACATGCAGAGACAGAGAGAGATTATCGTAATGCTAGAAGCCTAGAAGGCAAAAAAATGATATAATACCATAACTTGCAAGCTTGTCTCTTGAAAATGCGGCAAAAATAAGAATGTCAAGTTCAGATGTACATCGCACATACCAAATACAAATGAATGCAAAATTGAAGCTCAACCAAAATAAAATAACGTACTGTTAAATTACTTTGCTTGTATCGCATTGCAAAAGGTTTTTGACAAAGCAATGTTCTTGGAATAGAAAGAGTTATCAAAGGAGGTCACACAAAACAACTGGCAGCCAATACCAGCACCTGCAGAAATTGTCAAACAAGTGAATGCCCAAAAGGATAGAAGTTCACCAAACTACAACAGAATATGAAACCATATAACCTCTACCAATACCTCCCTGCTTCAACATAATTAGTATTGTCAGAATGAGATGGCAAAAGAAACCAGTGCCATTTTATTTTCTATAAGAAAAATAAGAAACTCGTAGTACTAATACGAAATTGGGCAGAGAAGATCAAACTAACTGCATTTTCGTTTTACTCTGTAACATAAAGGTACCAACTGCTAACTTCTTGTAGACATGTCAAATGAGCATTGCTTATGGAACAAACCTTTACTCCAGCATCTCTTCTTGCCAGCATATTTTCATAGCTTCCCTATATTGATTAACCGAAAGCAAGTGAGAAATGGATAATAGTTTTACTTTTAAATCTACTGGATTTCAAATCTACTGAAACACAAACCAATCTAGATCCAAACACAAACAGAGTATTTGAAAAACGAAAACAGAGAATTCGATTCAAGAAAACAGAACTGCCATTTCGTCAGAGAACCTTTGACATGTACTTGTCAAATCTTAAATAACTTAAGGCATCTTACTGTAATACCCACTCTGTTCTTCAGCATTTTCAGAAACTCTTACAAGCATGAAGGCAAAAAACATAAAAATGTCCACCTTCAAAATCCTACCCTTATTAAAAAGACTCAACCAAAGAACATTTGTATAATGTATAACAGCAACTTTTAGAATACTTGGTTCTTCTGGTTTCACCTTCAACATTGGCAAAGAGTTCTTTTAAAATGGACAAAAGGGAATACAAAATTACATCAATAGCAGATACACAACTTATTCACAGTAAATAACCAACTATGTTTTTCAGACTAGAGACCTTATCAGTTTAACTGAATTCATTGAAGTCCTCCTGACATATGAAAAGAGAGAGAAAAAAAATCTAATTAAGGATCTTTAAAAATTCAATTTCACAAGAATATGAACCAAAACAGGTGAGTAAACCAAATACCCACAACATCAAATCCTTTAAATAGGAGCTTCAACTTGATGGGATGCAGTTGAAGATGTACCATATACTTTACAAGGCATGTATATGAATATGACTACAGGAACAGAAAATGGGACATGGAGAACAAAGTTACAGCAGAAATTGAAATCTCTCAACACATTTGTTGGCAAAACTTCTCAAATGGCTAATTTCTTTTGAATTTTTTGAGTGAAACTATACCTTAATCTAACTGATTGTCCATTTCTTTTAAGGGAGCATATCTATGTAAAACTTAATAGCAACATTTACTTTTCATTGGATGAACAAGCCTGACCTGTATCCATAACACACACTGTAGGCTCTAATTTCTGTATCCATAACACACACTGTAGGCTCTAATTTTTTAAGGCATTATGGACCAACAAATATATTTCTTTGTTCTATCCATGTATTCTATTTGCAATCTTCCATAAACAGATTCCAAGAATGTTCTCCGAGCAATTTACCAATTAACGCGCAAGAATACAATTAATATCGCCTCTCCTTTGGGTTGCACATCAAATGTCAATCAACAAAATTCATAAAAAAGTTTATGACTTTGAAAAGCAAATGCATTGAGTTGGATTGAAAATCACAAACCCAACGAAAATAAAGCATTACAGGCAGAACAAGATTGCAAATTTCACCAAGAAAATAAACAGGACAAGGGAAAAGAAAGTCGAGCTAAATCAAGGGGAAATTGGTCAAAATAAGAAATATCAAATACGGAATCAGAATAGAGTGCAGATACTGAAAGCGATTAAATGAAATTGGATCTGGTGGAATTAGGATTGGTATGAAAGCACCTGTTGTTGCCTAGCGACCCGTTCGCGAAGCCTGGTCGCTTGCTTTCTGATAGCTTCCATTCATGACTGAAGGGACAAATCTGCCCAGATTTTGGTTCTCGACAATGGACTTTGTACGAGAGAGAGAGAGAGAGAGAGAGAGAGAGAGAGAGAGAGAGAGAGAGCTGAGAGAGAAAAGAAAAACTGAGAAAAAATCGTAAGGCCAATAAGTATGTATTTATAGATGGTATTCCCAAAATGTCCAGGATGGTGTCTGGAGAAGTGCCTTGATGGTATTTTGTGGTATTTCCCCTTGAAATAACTTGGTTGTTTTCATGGACGCCAAGTCTGGTGGTGGAATAGAAGCATACATTAACATGAAGGAAGAGGACTTGGCTAAACTTGAAGGTGACAATGAGTTGCTTGCATTTTGTTTCTCCACATGAGCTCAAGTGAAAGGATGTGTCTGCCTGCCAGTGCCCTATTCCTGTTAGTTTTCTTTTGCTTTCTCATTACAAGAGAATATTTCAAGTCAAATTAATTGTGACCATAAGGTTTGTTTTTAATTTTCATCTCAGTTAAATTTGAATATATCTGAATTCTTCAAAGGGGAATGCTAGCAACCTTCTCTCTAACCTTCTCTTTTGGACCTTCTTCCTTTTTAACTTGACATATGTCATTCTCTTTACACTTAAAACAATGTCATTAATATATTATACAAGCTAACTTTTGCTTTCCAGATTTACCTTTATTAATTGTATTCAATTTATCCAAACAAAATTCACAACTTTCTTACCATATATATTTTTTTTTAATGAAATTTTTTTTTAATTTAAGAAAATGTCTGCTTTTTAAAAAAAGAGGAAATGTCCTTTGTTTTTTTTAACGTCAAGTTTAGATTTTTTTTTTAATAAAAAAAAAAGACATTTCCTATTTTTCCTCTTTTTTTAAAAGCAAAAATTTTCTTAAAAAAAAATAGTTGACGTTAAAAAAAATTTAATAAGATGGTAAGAAAGTTGTGAAATTTGTTTGGATAAATTGAATACATTTAATAAGGTTAAACTTGAAAAGCAAAAGCTAGTTTGTATAATATATTAATGACAATGTTTTAAGTGTAAGGAGAATGACACATGTCAAGCAAAAAATGGAGAAGGTCCAAAGAAGAAGGTTAGAGAGAAGCTTGCTAGCATTCCTCTTCTTCAAAATTTAGAGTATCTCCAATGAATACAACAACAACAAAAAATGGTATCTCCAATGTTAATTTTCTTTTTGATGGCCTTCGGGATATTTTGACATCTTATTAAACATTTCGCTTCAAATAAGTTTATTGTGTTTAACTATTTAGCTTCTTTGATTAATATATATATACAGCGAGCTTCCATTGAGGGATCCCTCAATTAAGCTTATTTGAGGGACACCCCTTATAGGGTCCATTCCGGATTGTATTTCACTCATCCAAACCGTCTATTTTGTAGATACTCATTGAAAGATCATCTCTACAAAAAATCACTTGAATCCGATATCATATGACCACTCAATTGAGTTATTGAAATTTTAGTACTATCTTGAAGTACCGCGTTCGTTGATTTTGTAAGACACAATTGGATGTCGAAAAGGTTTCCGATTTGTCTAATTTTTTGTAAGGATGATCTATGAATGAAGACTTAAAAAATAGATGGTTTGGATTATTGAGAAAAAATTTGTAGGATACCCTAAAGGGCGTCCCTCAAATAAAATTATTTGAGGGATCCCTCAATAATATATATATATATATATATATATATTCAGTTTGTTAGGGGAGTGATTTTGAATAGATCAATAATCACTTGGTTCTCCATATACGTGATTTTTTAATCCTCTCATAATCACTTTTGCACAAATTAGTCGTTTTTCAGTGATTTTGGATAGGCCTTGTTGCAGCCTAGGCCCGTAGTAGCTGGCAACTTGGATTAGGAGTCACTGTGAGAAATTTAATATTAATTTTCTATTTGGATGAAATTGCCCCTTGAGCCTGAGTTCAAAGATCAAGCCCCAAAAATGCTTCGAAAGGATAGAGAAGCCTTAGAAAATACCTTGGTTACCTTCACCAACAAAAATGACAACAGCTTATAGATAAATTTTCTAGCTTGGCATGAGAGACTTGTGGCATGGAAGCAAAATTGACACGAGTTCAGCACCGAAGAGAAAATTATGCGTTCTTAGGGGAAAATGGAGTGTTAAGGTAAGAAAAGAAAGGTTTGCAAGAAGGTTTGGCTGAGAAAAGAGGGAGAGAAAGAAATGGGTGTCTTAGGTGTTCTTCCAGCAACTTGACAAAAGAGGGAAAATGGGAGAGAATGGAGAATGTAGCACAAAATTGCAGAGTTTCAGAGATGAGAGATGAAGCTTGCTCTCTATATGTGTGTTGGGATGATGGGTAGGAAATGCGTCATTTTATAGGCGTTGGAAGCTATCATTTTCCAAGAAACCCTAATGGTTTCTATCTAATTTGGCCAAGTCTTTCCCTTCCTTTCTCCCCTCATCCCTTCAATCATCCTATTTTGGTGAAATTTTCTCTGACCATTTGTATAAAATTAGGGATTTTGGGGAGCTCAAGGCCCCTTTCCCGCAGATGCCTTAGTGGAGAATCTCCATTTTTAGCCATCTTTCTTCCTTCTTTTCTCCCCTCTTCCAAGGCTAGGTCTGATGAGGGAAAGAAATGAGTACGTACACTGGTTTGAAGGGTGTTTTGCTCAAGTATCCCTTGGTTTTTTGGATTTTTTTGCTTGAAACTTGTTCCCTCTCATGTGCTGGAGCTTCCCAGCAGCTTACATACATGGATATTTTGGCTTTCATAGTGGCTTTTGTTTTTAGCTAAGTACTTGAGATTTTGCAGATATTTTCTTGAGTTGCTTGGGCCTTCTAGGACAATAAGTTGGTTCATCAAGTAAATGGGCTAACTTCATCAATTGTTGGGCTATTTTGGTTGAGTTAATGGACTATTTTGGTTGAAGTAATGAGCTATTTTTCCCTCTTTATGCTCACCCACATATTTGGGCCTAAGAAATGAGCTTAAGTTCTGGGATTTCCAAGCAACCTGGGACTTCCATTTCTTGGCCCATCAATGGGCCTCATGACAATTCATTACCATCTATACCACAACACACTCAAGCAAGCCGCAGGCATTTGCGTGGCTTGGGCCCACTTAAGCTTGTAGTGTGGCGTGTTGCTTATTTGCTTGGCGTGGCATGTGTGCAAGCATATATGATGAACTCTTGGGTACCCAAATTGGGTTTCTTCCCAAGTTAGGTGTCGTAATGGGCTGGGAATTTAGTCGGGCCGAACTGTGGATTTTTTGGGCCTTAACAAATGAAAATTAATAAAATCCATTGGGTTAAAGACATGACCTTTGGGTTATTATAATGGCACATCTTCAATTGGGAGGTGACAACTCTTCATATGTGTCTGGAACCCAATCAGAGACTTAGGGATGCATTGTTTGCTTTTTCATATTGGAATACCTTTTTGGAAAGGGTATTTCATCATCTATAAATAGAACAATCCTCATGCAGTTTTATCATTCAATTAATTCTCTACATACAGACTTCCATATATAGAGAGCATTAGAATTTTCATAAAGAGAGGTTCCTGCTAGGGGTGGGCATAAAAACCGAATGAACCGACTGAACCAAACCAAACCAAACCGAAAAAGGAGGGTTTTTTTACCAAACTGAAAAAGTCAATGCTGGACCTGACCCGAACCATTGACTCCGGTTCAGGCTTCGGGTCTAAAAATTTTAAACCAGTGGCCTGAATCGAATTGCATAATATTTAATTATATATGCATTTTCCATGTGTCATTGTCTGATTGGCTTAAAGAAGAGTTTATGCGGAGTCTGCTTGCACTGGATCATTACCCTCACAAAGTAACCTAACTTAACTCGTTCACTCTCATTCGTCTCTCTCTTTCAGCCCTAACTCACACTCACCGCCTCTCTCTCGATCTCACTGCTCCTGTCGTCCTCACCAAATCGACAACGATGGCTACTGCTACGGCGTCATCATTGTCATCGTCGCTCTCTCTATCTCTTGTCTCACTCACCCTCTCTACCTCTCTCTCTCACCTCACCCTCTCTCCTCTCACACTCTGCACCTCTCTTTCTGACAAGGAGGAACCAGAAGCACCTTGACAGCAATCCCTCATAGCTGAAGACCCAGATCGAGCTTTCAGGTCTGATGCAGTAAGTAATCTGATGGCTTTTAGTTCTTTTGCTTTCAGTTTCGTCAATTCTTCAATATTTTCAATGTAGTTTGATGGCTATCTGTGATTTGCTCACTCATCTGAAATTTCAGTTTAGCTTGAAGTATTTGACAAAAGTGAAGATAACTGCTTGGTGATATCTTCACTTTTATCTTCAATATTCTTCACTTTGAGTACCCATTGGTTGATCTGTAGGGAACAATTAAAAAAACAGCATCTTTTTATTTAAACTTTGAAAAAGTATGGATATTTGACAAAAGTGAAGATTACTGCTCGGTGGGACTGATATTTGATGCGTGCCTTTTAAAACACTGTATAAACCCTATGCTATTTCTAATTTTTCTTCAATCCAAATCAATGGTATGTTGTTTTCTTTATATGTGCGTCTTTGTGGTAAGGACTTGGATAAAAGTCTGTTGTGACTACAATGTGGTGGTGATTATGGATGAATCTGACTTAGTGCTAGCAGTGGTGAGTTCTGAAAATTTGCTTGCTTGATGTTCATGATATATTGGTTCTGAAATATGTTTGATGTTAATGAGATTTTGGTTTTGACATTTTTGTGTGGTTATAGATAGACCTGTTGCTGTTTCGGTGGGATTGATATTTGATGCTTCATTTTGTATTTGGTTGATTAAATATTGATGGAAATAAAAATTTAACATCTTGAAGTATTGGGGTTGGGGGAAATTAAGGCATTCCCAGCTATTTGGTTTGCCTTGGCTGAAATAGATTTCTTAAGAAAACGAAACAACAGAGCTTATCATATGTTTTGAATGATAACTGATTGAGGAGTGTTTTGATCTGTGTATTTGAGTTGATTGAGGTTAAACTTTTTTTAAATTTTTTAAATAATTTGAAAAAAAAACTGCAAACCCTTTTTTTTTTTTTTGGGTGAAATTAACTATCGAGTTGGAGTATGATTATGGTTGTTTGGTGAGTGATTTTTGACTAATACAAGTGTAATTTTTTTTTTTTTGCAGCTCCCTTAACTGATATAATCATACAAGTGAATGTGTTTGGTATTTAAAATCTAATTAGGTGTTTTACTTATATTTTTTTTTATGGGTTGTAAAATATAATTTGGTGCTTTACTTGTATTTTTTGTCATGGCTTGGGATGTAACTTGTAAGAAACAACTAATTTGATAGTTGGATGATGCTTGTGATTGTGATTTAGTTTTGAAACTTTT